CATTTAAAGACAGCAAATTCTAGGGATGACTGTAGATCTAAGAGTTCATGCTTTTTATTAATTTAGATTTATCTAAATTTTTCATAAACTCCTTGTAAACAAAAATCATCTTAACTAAATTTGAAGATTCTATCAAAGCACCACAACAACTTTTTAACTATTAATTTGCATTCAAATCTTGTACAGAGACTTGATACGAAGGATAACAGCAAAATGCAAAACCTTTTGCCACTGTGTTTTCAAATTATAAGGAGATTTGGTTATATAAGAATACAGAAAAAAACAACATATAAAGACAGCAAATTCTAGGGATGACTGTAGATCTAAGAGTTCATGCTTTTTATTTATTTAGCTTCATCTAAATTTTCATAAACTTCTTGTAAACAAAAATCATCTTAACCAAATTTGCAGCTTCTATCAAAGCCCCAACAACTTTTAATTACTAATTTGCATTTAAATCTTGTACAGAGCTTGATACGAAAAGTAGAAGCAAAATGCAAAACCTTTTGCCACTGTGTTTCCAAATTATTAGGAGATTTGGTTATACAATCATACAGAAAAAAACAACAGATAAAGACAGCAAATTCTAGGGATGACTTTAGATCTAAGAGTTCATGTTTTTTTATCAATTTACCTTCATCTAAATTTTTCATAAACTTCTTTAGGATCCGAGATTTGCTTATATAATAAAACAGAAAAAAACAACAGATAAAGATAGAAAATTCTAGAGATGATTGTAGAACTAATAGTTCTTGCTTTTTATTAATTTACCTTCATCTAAATTTGTCACTGTGTTTCACTAATTTGCATTCAAATCTTGTATAGAGACTTGAATCGAAGGGTAACAGCAAAATGCAAAACCTTTGGCCACTGTGTTTCCAAATTATTAGGAGATTTGGTTATATAATAATACAGAAAAAACAACGAGTAAAGACAGATGGATGACTGTAGATCTAAGAGTTAATGCTTTTAATCTTAAAATTTAGCTTACTCTAAATTTTTCATGAACTACTTAAAATCTAAAAAAATTTAGCTTCTATCAAAGAATCACTTCAACTTTTAACCATTAATTTGCATTCAAATCCTATACAGAGACTTGATAAGAAGGGTAGCGGCAAAATGCAAAATCTACCTTCACTGTGCATTGTTAAAAGCAGCCACCATTAAGCTAAAATCCTCGCGATTGGTTCGTTTCGGTTTTCTTCTCGGTAAAGGAAGAGCAAAGTGATAATTGGAAAGGAAACCCTTCGGATGGGAAAATAATTGCCCCGCAAGGCACAGTGATACCCTTGAATGCGTAATATGATTTGGATCAATTAGGGACAATGGGTAATTGCATTGTTTAAAAACGCTTTGGTATAAACTGTTGTATTATAGTAACATAATTAGAAAATTTAGGTTTATTGTATACTATAGTACATTAATTTTTTTTATATATTAAATATTTCATTGTCAACACTGCAAAGAGATACTAAAACACATTTCTGATCAGGAAATAATATTTGGAAATACTATTAAAGTTATATTTTTACAATGATTGGCAAGTTAAAACCTATTTTTTGTACAATTTAGAGACTGGAAACTCTCAGTATAAATAGTTGATAATTGCCAATAGCCGGAGGTAAGCTGGCCGCAACCACATTACACGCCAGTCAGTTGAAATACCCGGAGAGAGAGCATTTGCCCGGCCTTCCACGCTTTTGTCTACTACGGCTGCATGCGTTCATTCATCGCGGGCAGCCATTGCGAGGCGTCGCTGCCGCAGCCAATGGCGGTGCGCGCGATCGAAGCGCCTCTAGCGGCTTCGAGCCGAAGCACGCATTTAAAAGAAGCGGACCGACGATGCGTAAAGCGGCTAGAACGGAGGTGTGTGCGTGCGATGATGGGGAAACGTTCGTTGTATGATGATTTAATGCAAGGATTGAGTATTTTTCGACCATAAAGTATTATGATTATATTTTTGTGGGGGAGGTTAAAGATGGCGCATCAGGGTATATAAAGCCAGTAGTGGTTAGCTGTTCTTTTATTGTTTTACTGTGATTTCTTTGTTTGTTTGTTACATAAGTATACATAAAAATGGGCCTTTTTTCTTGACAGTAAGCAAGCATATCCGAAAACGAATTTGATTTTTCAAGTCTTCTAAATTTTGTGGTCTGTTGATGTAGACCTTTGATTTAAGGTAGCCCCATAAGAAATAATCGAGAGGGTAGAGATCTGGAGATCTCGCTGGCCACTCATGGGTCCTCGTCTGCGAATCCACCTCTCAGGAAAACATGTGTCACTTGGTAGATCGGGAGTCCCGATTGGGATTGCTAATGTGGGAAGAAGGGTTTTGCAAAAATTCCAAATACGTTTGTCCAGGAAGAAAGGTCCTATGATTCGATTTTCCACCATTCCTGTCCAGACATCCACTTTTTGCCGGTATTGGGAATTTGCCTCTACTACCCAATGAGGATTTTCTCTGCTCCAGTACTGGCTGACTTAACTTTCAGCTGCGACTAGGCTAGAAGCACTGTGAGGATCTTCTTCCACACGTAACAAATTGTCAATTTTAGTTTCTTCACTAATACTCGGAGGGCCAGGTTTTGGAATATCTTTGACATGTCCCATCTCTCTGAATTTCCGTTCAGCGATTAATATGTCGAGCTGTATACTTTACATTAAATAAATTGCAAACTTCTTTTTGTGTTCTAGTTTTATTGTCACATCCTATGATAATTAAAACTTCAATTCTCTGTGCTTCCGTTAAATGGCCCCATATTAAAATACTTGGAGAACGTTTAAGAGACACTGAACGCTCAACTAAAAGTTTATACATGTGGAAGTGAATATTTCTTTTAAATTATATGCCAACAAAGAAATACATATAAAATAAAACATAATAAATCGAAAAAGATCGACCTTGAAATGAAATATTTTAAGAAAGTTTATGAACATTTCTTCTATAAACACTTTTTAATTTTATCAAAACCCCATTAAAGTTTATATACAAAAAAGTTTATATACAAAAGTGCTCTTTTAGTTCCACCCTTACTCCCAGGAGCCAGCCGAATGGCTTGAGCGGGTTAGGGGTAGGAACGGACCACGGGCTTAAAGTCCCCTCCGAAGGACTAATATACAAATAGAAAAAACTATAATCTCCCAAAAGGTATAAATGTGCATATTCTGAAATCACAATTTCATAATCTATTCGAATCTCAAAAAAAGAGGGGGGTACAATTTAAAAAAATGGCCGATTACGTCAGGGATTCAGAATCCCGGATTCTACAAATATGAAAATTGTACATTAAAATGTGCGTAATTAAAAAATAAAATCGACCTGTTTTTTTGAGAAAAAATGCCGATTTTGTCAACAATACCTACATTTAAAGCATACTCTCTAAAAATTAATTAGTCAAAAATGACTAATTTAATAGTTATTAGTGGCTGCTTTTTCACTTTTACCATGGTTACCATGGAATACCATGGAAACCTAAAATTTAACAGCCAATTCGTATGTAAAATTGTCCCCTGAATTCGAAAATACCATCAAAGGTTAAAAAAGTAAAGCAGTTTTTGAGATATGGTCAATTTTCCATTTAATATGGAATTGACTATATTTTAAAAACTGCTCCACTTTCATAATTTTTGACAGTATTTTCGGATTCAGGGGACAATTTTACATAAGAATTGGCTGTTAAATTTTGGGATACCATGGTATTCCAATGGTTAACCATGGTACAAGTGAGAAAGCAGCCACTAATAACTATTAAATTAGTCATTTATGACTAATTCATTTTTAGAGAGTACGAACTGTGGTACAGTTACTGCACATCATTTTTATATAAATAGGTCGTTTTTTCACAAAAGGGAGGAAGGCAGAAGTCTTACTCGAGAAATTTCATTCAATTGCACAGATAAATCGCGCACGTTATTTGTTTTACGTTGCAAGGAAAAAACTAAAAAACTGGTTTAGTACTCGATTTCGATTGATTATTCTTTATATCATTGATTAAGAAACTCAACGCTTAAATGCTTATATAGTTACGTTAGAGTGTATATTTTATCTAAGGGAAAATTCAACAACTAAATTGTTGCATTTTCATGTTTTGTCAAAGGATCCAATTCGGTAAGTACATTTGTTGGTGCAGAATTAACTAATGATAACTTTACCTAATATAATTTATATTTTGGACATTTTTAAAATATTAGTAAAAAATAATTTTTGCACAAACATAACCTTAAAATCAACCATTTTTATATTTGAGTTCTCTAAAAAACGCAGACAACTGCATTTTAAACAACAAAATATACCTACGAATTCATGACAACATAATATTATATATAATACATAATATAATGGTATTTTACCGTTGAGTGGGGACTTTAAAGAATTCTTAATCAATGCTTTTGATAATGCTGAATGCTGTTTAAATTTAGACGACTTATTTGTTTGACGTTTTTTACTGAATTGAAATGTTAACACTTTTCACGTTAATCATTACTAAAATGTGTATTTAGTGAATCTAATAGATACAATTTATATTTAGGATGTTTAGATAATTCAGTTTTTTTTTATTTATAAATTTCGGTATTTTGATAAAACTAAACCCAAAAAAATGCTTGAGACAGTAAAGAGATACCCAATGTTTAATTTGTTGCATCAAGGACATATCTTCGAAAGATTTTATTAAATGCAGTTTCTATGGAAAATAATTGAAGTAGGTATAAAACAAACTAAATTTCCAATATAAAGTCTATTCAAATCCAAGCTGGACTAAATGTAAACACAATCCTCCGAATCGACCAATAAGAACTCACAATCCGAGTCACCCAATCAGAATCGACCAATAAGAACGAGTTATCATCATGCGTTTTAGTTTAGTCCAGCTTGGATTTGAATACACTTTAGGTAACCTAGACTTTTTACCAAGTTAGCATCAAAACACATTAAAATTTTGATGCATGCATTCTATTCGCACTTAAAACTACATAACTTAATTATTTTTCGATTGACTCACCTGTATCCTATCCTCGGGCAGGTCGGTCTTCAGGCTGAGCATCTCCCTGGCGTAGACGTCGGGGTAGTGCGCGTCTTTGAAAGCTTTTTCTAGCTCCTCCAGCTGGTAGCTGGTGAAAATCGTCCTGCCACACACCCACCAAGGGTAGTTAAACATGTAAGGCACAGTGCGCAACTTATAAACTAACCCGGACCAACACTATTGCATTATTATTAGGTGGATGCTATTAAACGAACTACGCAGGTGTCTTGGTGCTAACTGAATGAGGAGTTTAATTTTTTTACGCGCGAGTATTGTGAAAAAAATAGGTGAATGAATTTGTTCGTAAGATAAATCATCATGATTCTTACACAAGGTACAACTATTTTAAACAGCATATAGGTATAGATTTGAGGTTGGTAGATGAAGTATGATTTTGAATTAAACTGTCTTCATCTTTGATTCTTTTATAACACAACGTTTCAATCAACTATCTGTGATCGTTTTGATCATTCTACACTTGAAAACGATCACAGATAGTTGATTGAAACGTTGTGTTATAAAAGAATCAAAGATGAAGATAGTCCAAGACAGTTTAATTCAGCATATAGGTACTCATACTTAATATAATATAATTATTATCATCACATACAGTACTACTGTACCTGGTTGGGCAATCGTTTAAATAAAAAACAAACAAAACCTGACGTCCATTGTATCCAAACCATAGCGGTACAATTAAAAAATTAAAAAACATTTTTATTAAATCTTAACACCATTGTACTGTACCATCCTTCAGCTGGTACCTACTCCAATCTCAATTTCATTATCTACAGACACCGGTTATAATATTACGTATTGCAACAACAGAACGTTTGACATGTGTTGATATGTAACGTCAATAGCCGAAATAAATAGTTACCTATGACGTCGCTTCTTCTTCTTCTTTTTGTTGAAACCACCCAAACCGTCCGTCACTGAGAAGTCTTTGGAATTATCTAGCTGGCCTGAAAGAAGAAGAAGAATGTTTTGAGAAATTATTTCTAGAAAATTGTTTTGAAGTATTAATTTAGTTTTAACATCCTAGCTCAAAATTAGACCTCCAAACAAACCTCTCTCGACTGCGCCATCGTAACATCACTTGTTTATTTTTAATGCGTTTATAGAGCAATCGAAAAATTGGCAAATTGGCACCGACGCTTGACAAGGGGGTGCGATAGGTAAACGAATTAAAGATGGCGCTAACGAAATTTCGGGACCTTTTGACATTAATTCGGGAAAATTGTGTTTCGCAATTTTCAACAGCACGGGTAATTAATAAAAATTGCCACAAAATATTATAAAAACTATTTTATGATGTAATATATATTTATTTGTATCCAATAACAGGATTACATCTTAATCAATATCCACTTGAACCTTCAAATATTATAATATCTTCTACAAATGTGGGTATTATGGATATCCCTTTATAGGTTAATGGTCTCTATGTTAACCACATCCATTACAGCTTACTTAGAAATGTACAAATAAATAAAATCATAATGTGCAGTGGCTATCATATTGGTCACAATTTTAATTTGGCAATTGTTATAGAACCAATGTGGTCTCTATGTTAACCATTGCCTGTTCCCACAAAATTGCGAAAAAGTAGCATTTGCAGTAATTGTTGCTGCTAGCGAGCATAAGCATGTTTGTTTTACCTGACAACACACATAATTCAAAAGGTAATTGAATGCTTTACAACTTGTAATAATAGTACTTGGAAAATAGGTGAGCGCTAACGAAATATTTAGATCGTTTTGGAACATAACCTCTATCAAGCTCACATACCGTGAGACTATTGAATCCATGTCCAGTATTTATTGGTTTTTTGAAAATTTGCATTCAAGTAAACTATTTTATCTAGTTGTTGGTATAACCGAAGATCAGGCTATGGATTCGGAGATTGAGAGCGATAGCCCATCAAGAGTCCCCAAGTACTTTTCGTCTAAATTCACCAAGTACATCTTCATATTTATAAGTAACTTCTGCCAATACTTCAGCACGATCCAGCCTACGTAATGGTAGTGAGCGAACATCCAGTATACATTTCAGAAAACAAATTTTGAATAGTTTTGGGGGTGAAAGTGACTCTGATGCAGATGTTCTTTCAGATGACTCAGTATCGCGATTATTCATCAGATTCAGAGAAAACTACCAGTAGTAGGTCATTTTTGAAAATTGACCAGTGAAAATAAAAATAAAAAGATGCATCACAGAAATGCCACTGTAACTTACTCACAAACACAAGAGTAGGTAGAATCAAAAAATGAAGAAACTTTGAGAAATTGAAATTTACTAAAACCGTTTCCAGATAAGAATAATGACAGTGAACAATTTGGAAATAAGTATTTGATTTAATTATTTTACCTGGTCCTGAAAAAAAAACTAAAATCCTTTCAGAAACGCAAAAAAAAAGATTAAATTAAATATGTGGTTTGCATTTAGACCACCGCCCATCTATCATCTTATGGACAGTGGTTTCCATTTTATCCACCATGATAAATTAAAAAAAAACAGTTGGATTTTCAAAATAATCATTAAAATAACTTAAGACATCCAAAAAAAAATAACAATTAATGGATTCTGCCCTATAAAGGGATATATGAATATCCTTCCATGGGCCCAAAAACAGAGCATGAAAACTGTTATTTTGTGTAAAAGTTGGTCGACGATAGGCAAACATCCACAAGTTAAACAAGCATTTTGCCTGTTGCCGATTAATTAGTCATCCAGTCTGCTTTGGAAACCCTAATCCAGAGAGCTTCCTGGGTTACCTAGACGACCACGACTTCCGACGAATGGAACCGAGGCCATTAGGCAGTGGCAGCATCAGCAGCCGAAGCAAAGAAGATGGAAATGCATGCACAAAGGAGTAAAATACGCAGCGGGTGTGCAAAAAAAGGAGTAAGAACGTGAATGCGTGTGCAATGCAAACAATGGCAGGAAAAGAGACCATGATGGGTTTTTAACACCTCACTGTGATGCTCACACGTCCGTGCATGAAAATAGGTGGGGCTTTCGCACCTCGAACCCATTCACGGAGCCGTTTTGTTTACAGCCCCATTCTGATGATTTCGCTTTGCTTTGCTCGACGACGTAACGAGATACGAATTAAAGATTTCTGCGCTCTTTGATCCAAAGTGCGTTAGTATATCCGTTAATTTGGGACCCTCTCTCTAAGGACTTTGATGACATGTCAAAGGCCAGTGAATAAATAAAATTCCGATTGTGTTTTTTTACCTTGTTCTTTGTTCCTTCGCGTTTGGAATACCAAAGTTCTTTAATTAGATTTAATTAGAGGCAGCCATGTAGCTGCAAACGGCTGGCAACAAAAGGTCTGGTTTTATAATTAATAACATCATAATTAGTTTGGATTGTTTTTCCTGCTTACAATAATCACCTGAATAATAAGCTATTGTAATTGTTAAAGCATTGTTATTTTAATAAATAAACTAGTTACAACGTCTAATATTCTAAAATTAGCGGATTTTCCGATTTTACCTTGACCTAGCAAAAGCCTTTGACACCGTTTGCAATTAGAAACTTTTAGTAAAGTAAATTATCAGACATTGGGATTAGAGGTACATCTCTAAAATTAATAGCTAGCTAGTTACCATAACATGCTAATTTCTATGTTAAAATTAACTATATGAGTACCCTGCAAACGACAAGTTATGGCGTGCCGAAAGTACTATACTAAGCCCACTCTTGTTTTTATTGTATATAAACAACCTTTTTAGAATAGGATGGCAAGGTAAGATAATAGCTTTGCAGATGATACTACACTGGAAAAAAGGTGCCCTTAAACTAAAGTAGTCAACTGTTTTGATAACAAATTATTGGCGGCTAGAAAAATATTTTAGCATAAAAGAGTATTTATTGCTTAAAGAAAGAAGTTCTTAGTGGAAGAAGTTTAGTTCTCTTGAAAACAAATACAAAATCAAAAAAAAATTATTTATATTTAAGCAATTCAGTTAAGATTGGTACATTACAATTATCCCAATAGAATGTCAATTTTACAACAAAATCTGATAGCTTCTGATACATGGGAGGGGATAAACACGTGTTTAGTACTTTTTGCATCATTGCAACTTGCAATTCGCCATTTTCTAGGGGTAGTGATATAATATTATAATTCTATTATAGGTACGATTTCTAATATACATTTTGCCGGTTGTGTTGTGTTGTGGCGTGTTGTATGTACTTTCATAGTGGAATTGGAATCATTTAAACTCTTTTTAAATAAATGAAATTTAATTTATTTGTTTACCAAGAGATATTTGCTCTAAAATCAAAATAAAATGTGGTTAGGTCAATAGTATATGTTTTTGTAGCAAGACAAATTTTCTTTCTTAAAAAGTTCCGAAGCTTTCCAATTAAGAGATGCAATTTTCTTGTTAAAATCCCATTTTTTGCGCTAAAAACGTTTTCTTCATTCAAAAGAGAAATATTTTTGGTTCTTGTACCAAGAAATCGCTTGCTCTTGATTTAAGCTAATATTGTAATATCCTTAAAATAGATAAATCTCTCCCCTCAAGTAATCAAAGTGATTTTTATTTCTTTTAAGAGATTATTTTTTTCTATGTACCTACCATTTTTTAATAGGGATCAAACTGGGAACAACTAAGACATTCAATTGAAAGCGAAAACTCATGGCGTGCCACAAGGTACTATCCTAGACCCACTTTTGTTTTTATTTTATATAATCGACCTAAGATGTTAAGGTAAGATAATGGCTTTGCAGATGATACTACCATTTTTTATGAGAGATCAAACTGGGAACAACTAAGACATTCAATTGAAAACCACAACTTATGGTGTACCACAAGGTACTATCCTAGGCCCACTTCTGTTTTTATTTTATATAAAAAACATATTTAGAATAAGATGTCAAGGTAAGATAATAGCTTTGCATTTTTTTAGGAGGGATTAAACTGTGAACAACTAAGACATTCAATTGAAAACGATTATGTTTTAATTAAGGATTGGTTTCAAATTGTATTTTACCCCAGCGTTTAGATTCAAAGAGCAATAAGGCAAGGAAGGAAATAAATATCCATTAGCCAAAAAAGAACGACTTTCCATCCACATAATATGCGGCAGTTTAATACGAGTCATTACTTCTTCTCTCG